TGTCAATCACTGGATTCTCTGTTCTAGACTGGAGTTTTTACAGATCGCCGTCATACAGCTGGAATATTGCTGAGAGCGGCTTTAAACAACAAACAAGCAAACAAGCAAACAAAATAATACATAAAAGACAACAGTAATTTACTAACCTGAACCAGTCGGCTATCAACCGCATAAACCACTGAATTTGCCAACGGTGTTTCGTCCAATCTATTAGTTGTTCTACTAACGGCTTTTATTTTCAGGGAACTTTTCAAGGACCAACTTGAGAATGATTTAGTCTTATTTATCAGCAGCTGAGTGAATGTCAAGTCAGCAATAAACCCAAGAGAGCCAATCAAATTTGGGACCCCGAACAGTTATTACGTAAACATCGTGCACTGACATCGTAGCAGAGCTACTTGCACACAGGGTCAGTCGGGGGAAGAGGTTTACCAATGGCTATTGGTGGCGTTAGGAAAATCGTAAATCATCGTATATGTTCAGCCTGCGAGTTGAGTGAGTGAGTGAGTTTGGTTTAACGCCGCTTTTAACAGCATTCCAGTTATATCACGGCGTGTCAGCTTAATGTGGGAGGAAAGCCCGAAGTGATGCAGGTCTCAGACGTTTACCACTTCGGTGAAACCCACGAGCACGGGTATGGTGCTGACAAACCTAGAAACATAATCGGGGCGAACCGGGATTCGAACCCATAATCATAGGTTTCTGGCGTGCCCAAGGGACGCTGCACAGCGAATCGCGGCGCCTTAGACGACTGGGCCATCTCTTTGCTATATTCTACCTGCAAACCCTTCACAGTTGTAACTAACATGTCTTGAACTGCATTAATCATTTAAATAATATTGTCCATATTTGGAGACATTTTGTAGGGTACCAGCGTGTATATTTTATTATGTACGGTTTTTTCCTCCCCTCATGGTACATCGACACCACTTGTAGACTGACCTCTAATTTAGTCTCACCTCCTTACATACTAAATGACAAGGGCGGATATAGCATTATTAAAAGGGAGGGGTCCAAAATATTTCTATCACTAAGAGTAAGATCACTGATATTTTTAGAAAAATCTGTCTTTTTCTAAACATGTATATAAATAAAACACCCACTTCTAAATCTGATATAAAATGCGCTTGTCTGATCATGCTTTTGTACACTGAATAAAACTGTCTTTCTCTATCAACCCGCTGTCACGATGTGAAAAAACGGCATTCAAATAAATATACTGCAATGCTGTCGGAGTTCAAACAATATATTAACCCGTTCCTATTTATCAGCTCCCATTAATACAGGTATGATATTGTACAAAACTAATCGTTCTGTCAGATCAGTTATAACATACTGCTTGGTCGTCAACACAGTCATGTAACAATGAACGCGACGTGTATAGGGGACCTGTGCCGAGCGAGGCAGCGGTCGTCTTATCTCCTGTTCTGCCGTTAATATATAGTATAATTACAGACACTGGGCAAATACTCCTTCGATTTCAGTTTCCAACAAAACAGATCCTATTGTATTACTTACAGCACCCGTTTGTTAGCGGAAATTGACAGTCGACGATAGAATTATATGGTCGTTTAAACTACGATACCAATTACTCCATTCGTCACCACTCGCCCCTTTCCGTAACCTGCAAGAAGACTCGCCCCCCTATCAGTGAATTGTATGTGCGAAAATACGACAAACCAATCAGAATGCGCGTATAATTCCGCATGTCCAGATGTGCATTAAATTGCATCTGAAATATATATAATATATGAGGAAATACATGTGAACCATTACGCAACGAGTTGACAATTATTTTAGGTATGCCCGTTTGGGCTAAGACAGAATCCTATCGCAAAAATGGCCACGAGAGGGGCACGAGTCGCTTTTCGGCTTGTCCCGGAATAACACGAGTTAGTCACGAATGCTATTCGGCTTGTCCCGGAATAACACGAGTTGGTCACGAATGCAATTACTCGTGTACCAAATCGAAGGGATTCTCTTCGGGCGAAGGCCATCAAACCAGTCTAAACTCCCAATTACCCTTTACTTCGTTATATCTTTTTCAACATGTTAGTGTTAAGTCACAGTTTGTGTTTACAAGTATGTGTCATACTTTTGTGCAATTTACACAAGTTAATGCGATTTACGTAAAGATTAAGGATCAGGTTGCTTGATATAAACATGTTACATGCATTTGACAAAAAGGTCCAACATTCTGTTTTTCTTCCTATACTTAGTTGTGATTCCACAGTTCTACACGTATTTCATTTTGAGACAGGTTTCCATCACTGAATACGTACTAATTGTTGGGCCCGCTGACTTGGTTGATGTATGTCATCGTATCCCAATTGCGTGGATCGATGCTCACGATGCTCACGATGCCAGTCACTGGATTGTCTGGTCCAGACTCGATTTTTTACAGACCACCGTTGGTTGGTTGGTTGGTTGGTTGTTTTACGCCGCACTCAGCAATATTCCAGCTATACGACGGCGATCTGTAAATAATCGAGTCTGGACCAGACAATCCAGTGACTAATATCATGAGCATCGATCCACGCAATTGAGATCGATGACATGCATCAACCAAGTCAGCGAGCCTGACCACCCGATCCCGTGAGTCGCCTTTTATGACAAGCATATTCACCTTTTACGGTAAGCATGGGTTGCTGAAGACCTATTCTATCCCGGAATCTTCACGGGTCCAGACCACCGCTATATAGCTGGAATATACGCCACTCCGGCGTTAAACAACAAACAAACTAATTGTTGGTATTCTATGACAACGGAATCCTTCATTGAAAATTAAATTATATATATATTAACGTTTTAGTTTATAGATGTGACGTAATAAAGCCGTGAACACTGCACCTAGATCTTAAAGACCGGATATAGTGTGTACCTAGCCGGCGTTACTATGATTATGTTTCTTGAAATACATGAAACAATAAAACAATATTGCTGTTAGTCATACTTTGGTGGACATGCAAGTAGCGTTTGAGAGTTTAGTTATTAACATTCAATTCAATCCTTCGATAATTTTGTGTGTGTGTTTTTCGTTAACGCAGTACTCGGCAATATTTAATCGATATGACACCGGTCTGTATATAATCCAGTCTGGACAAGACAATCTAGAGATTAAAATCATGAGCATCGATCCAGGCAATTGGGATACGAAGACATGCATCTACCATGTCACCTGCCTGACGACCCGAATATCCATTTTGTCGCCTCTTACGACAATTAAAGGTTGCTGGGGACATCTATTCTTCAATGTGCCTTCGATTGTATCTACTGCAGATGATTTTAAATGTCTATTTAATTGTTCTTATTTTAGCTTTCCTACATATATGTACTTACAGGAGAAATATTTTATTTGGCCAAACGTATTTATATGTAAATGTGGGTTTTGATCTACGAGACTGATAGATATCAAGAAACTTTCAAAATTCATTTCGATTATCCTCACTACTGTCAGCAGTGTTCGAAATACCTGCCTGCCCGACTGTCCGAGATTTCAACTCGGGCTGCCAGATTTTCAAATCCCCCTGCCCGACGGTCAGGTTATATTTCATATGTGAAAATATTCTAAATATTTCCCAATGATAAGCATTAATTCACATGTAAAGATGAATGATAAAATGTAACCAAAAAGAAACCCCGTTAGCTTATCCTGAGAAACATATGATTATAGTGGGCAGGCAGGTTTTGGTCAGGGCTGGCAAGTATTTCAGCTAGCCAGTCCTGTGGTCTGGCTGAAATTTTGGGGAGTTTCATACCCTGCTACTGTCAACACCGCTTATGTTGTATGTCATACCCCAGCACTCATGTGTCTGTCTTTAATCACGTGTAAGTTAGCACATAGTTGTAAACATTCTGGAAAACGTGTTCTTGTACCAACGTGGTTTTAAGAATAAAATGACTTGACTTGAAAACAGTGAGTCAGTGAGTGAGGATGGTTTCACGCCGCTTTTAGCAATATTCCAGTAATAGGACGGCCGGGGACAGTATAAATGACCTTCAATCACGGGTCCCGTAAAGATGCGGGTTTGTATAGGTCTTCAGCAACCCATGCTTGTCGTAAAAGGCGACTATGCTTGTCGTAAGAAAGAGGCGACTAACGGGATCGGGTGGTCAGGCTCGCTGACTTGGTTGATGCATATCATTGTATCCCAATTGCGTGGATCGATGCTCAAGATATTAAACACTGGATTGTCTGGTCCAAATGTGATTATTTACAGACCGCCGTGATATAGCTGGGATATTGGTGAGTGCGGTGTAAAACAACAAACCAACTTCACACATGGTACCCAGACTTGATAAGCAATGTAAACAACATGCATGTATGTAACAAATGTTCTATTTGTGAAAACACTTTCTCACTAAAGTACAGAATCTATTACTTCCATGATTGAGTCACAATCGTCTAATCACCTAATCGCCAGCACAAGGTCAGAAAAGGTAGGAATGTGTGACCCGTGAAGATTCCGGGGTAGAATAGGTCTTCAGCAACCATGCTTACCATAAAAGGCGATTATGCTTGTCGTAAAAGGCGACTAACGGGATCGGGTGGTCAGGCTCGCTGACTTGGTTGATGCATGTCATCGATCCCAATTGCGTGGATCGATGCTCATGATGTCACTCACTGGATTGTCTGGTCCAGACTCGATTATTTACAGACCGCCGTCATATAGCTGGAATATTGCTGAGTGCGGCGTTAAAGAACAAACCAACAACAACCAACGAAGAAAGTGTTATCCGAAATATAACATTTCTTACATTTAACCACATTCTAAATGGCATTGTGTATTTATTTAACATGAATGTATGACGTAAAATTGATTGACGAACCACACGGTACACACCGATCAATGTAACAATGTTACACTTACAGCAATATCTCAACATCAGGGCAGGCATATAACAAACACAACCGCATACACAGAAATGAACATACACCTTAGAAAGAAACCGCAGCATGTCAACGTGACAAAATGAAAACGGACTGGCTTAATACATACCCTTTCATGTGCAATGTTGTGGGTTCCGAGCCTGACCGTGGTGTACCGTCCTTCTCCGATCTTCCTTCCGAGGACATACTGTCCAACCTTCTTCTTCCTCTCACCCCCGGGACTCCCCTCTTCAGCCCCCTGGGAGTCAGCCATGGCTCTCCCGACCCTCAGCTGTCTTGTGGCTGAGTGTTCAATATCCTGTCATAGCCAGGCCTAACAGTGAAGTCGTAGTATTCATGCTGGTAATCTCCTCGGCGTATTCAAAAGCTAAACTGTCTTTTGATGGGGCATTTCTTCTTTCACTGAAAGACAGGGTTCACGAAAGATATGTTACACTTTGGAACTATATTTGCAACATGGTACGCGGGTACACAGTGCAGTTGTTTGAGAACTGCTCTACCCCTGAGAAGGCAAAACCAAGTTCAATAGACGAACCCTTGGTGTTGTTATTTTCCTTTTTATAACGGTTAGGATTAAAAGCCACCCCGAAAGCATATAACCTCGATTCTCTTCAGAACACACGGAAATATATGGGGTGCTCAATATGAAGGGATTAACATTGCACCTCGAAGGGTAATTGTGTTGTCATGACAGGTACACGGGTATAGTATAGATCCAAGCATTCCGATGGACACAATCCTTGACACTTTGACACCTTTTCATAATATGTATCTTTACGTGTAAACGCAAATTTACATTCACCTATGAAAGAAACAGTCACAACAAATATAATTAAGCTTAGTATCCATTCATTGTTCTATTTCCACATCATGAAAATATTATGACGTTGGAACTTGGTATTATTCAGAAAATGTATCTGAATACATATATACATATATTCATATAAACTCATATTGTTGTACTGTCATTAACTATACATATACATATACATTCCTATTGTTGTACTGTCATTAACTGAACATATATGCATATACAATCCTATTGTTGTACTGTTATTAACTGTACATATATACATATACATTCCTATTGTTGGACTGTCATTAACTGTACGTATATACATATACATTCCTATTGTTGTACTGTCATTAACTGTACATATATGCATATACATTCCTATTGTTGTACTGTCATTAACTGTACGTATATACATATACATTCCTATTGTTGGACTGTCATTAACTGTACATAGATACATATACATTCCTATTGTTGGACTGTCATTAACTGTACGTATATACATATACATTCCTATTGTTGGACTGTCATTAACTGTACATATATGCATATACATTCCTATTGTTGTACTGTCATTAACTGTACATATATACATATACATTCCTATTGTTGTACTGTCATTAACTGTACATATATGCATATACATTCCTATTGTTGGACTGTCATTAACTGTACATATATACATATACATTCCTATTGTTGGACTGTCATTAACTGTACATATATACATATACATTCCTATTGTAGTACTGTCATTAACTGTACATATATACATATACATTCCTATTGTTGGACTGTCATTAACTGTACATATATACATAAACTCTCATATTGTGTTACTGTCATTAACTGTATATATATATTAATATATATATACACACACACGCATACACTCATATTGTTGTACTGTCATGAACTGTGCATATACCTATACTTTTATGTTGTTATACTGCTATTAACTGTACATATACCTATACACTCACATTGTTATACTGTCATTAACTGTACATATACCTTTACATTCATATTGTTGTACTGTCATTAACTGTACATATAGCTAGACACTCGTATTGTTATATTGCAATTAACTGTACAGTGTATTTATAAATTAAAAAGACAACAGTTTGTGTCCTTATTTTCGCCCTGAATTACGTGAATTGTAATAAGCAATGGCTGTCTTAACTCACTGACTCGCCAGCGTGCTTCTTCCGTTCCATGTTTGTTGAAAGATCACGACAAACATTTCCTTTCCGTGGCTAGATACAATAAAATGACTGTATCATTCTAGCGTTGCAATTGCCCATTAGACACCACCTCCTGTGGGCGGGGTCAGTTGCTAACCTATCGACTCGTCTCCTTACACCATCTTTCCTCGTCTGCCAGCGTTGCTCAAGCAGACGGCAGGAAGTCCTGCCAAGAATAGGTCTCGGAAGTTCGTTCGGCATGTCGTAAAATATTGATACATCTATCGAACGGAGCAAACGCCTAGCTAAATGTGTTGGTTATTATCAGCGTTGTCTGTTAATTAAGGGACGCCCGTATGCATCTGCATGCTTTTAGTAAGACAATGGTAAGGGAACTAGGGACAACGGAAGCATGTGAATTAGATGAATCAATTAAACACACTGAATGCTTACAGATATACAGCTATTTGCGATACTACGTACGTCAGCACAACGTTGCTCATGTACCTGCTGTTGAAGAAACACATATATGAAGATACAGTGTCGGTCTTAATTACTGGGTTAAACGTTCTCACATAAATCATCAATTCTTGACTAAAACATCAGGTATACGTTGACATTGGACAAATACTGTATTTGTGCAGAGACCATCTCTGATTTGTGTCTACGTTCACATTTTATTCGGAGAAGCTCACTTCAAGCATAGCGAGATCGTTTGAGTATCTTTGGGTCATAGGCGGATTCAGAGGGAGACCCAGGGCGTCTTTTGAAAACCAAATGTAGCACACTGTATGTTGTAGACAGTGACACATATCTCACTGGGAGAGGTTTTTTATATTTTGGACCCCTCCTTTCTAAAAATTCCACCCTTTTTGGTGGTCTGACGCAGTTATTTTAGGCCGCATTAAAAATCCCGAAACACCAATCACACCAAAACCAAAATAATGCGCTCTTTTTGTATTTCAGATTCCATCTGTAAAATTTGTTGTTGTTAGTCAGCAATGTTTCAGGTATATAAAGGTGGCCTGTTGATAATCGATGGGCATGATAGCAGGACCAACGCCATTAACGACGATCGGGGGTGATCCAACTCTTACCAACCTGTGAAGAATCGGGTTAAAATTGGTCTTCAGCAACCCATGCTTGTCGTAAGAGGCAACTAACGGGATCGGGTGGTCAGGCTTGCTGACCTGGTTGATGCATGTCATCGTATCCCAGTTGCGTGGATCGATGCTCATGATGTCAATCACTGTATAGTTCGCCGTCAAATAGCTGGAATATTGCTGAGTGCGGCGTTAAACAACAAACAAACAAACAACCTTTGGGACCAGTTCAAAAGTTCGATGTGGGATAAACGGATTAATTGCCCCCCCCCCCCCCCCCCCCCCCTAATAAAATTTAATTCTGAAAATGTTGAATTTCCGAGTTCAGTGGCCCTTTTGTCACGCATTGTCGTGTTTTACCCTGTTTTTACGGAACGTTTATCGAATGAAGTTTATTGACTAGGTGTTGACAGTACTTTGTAGGGGACCCGTGAAGACTCCGGGTTAGAATGGGTCTTCAGCAACCCATGCTTGCCGTAAAAGGTGACTATGCTTGTCGTAAAAGGCTACTAACGGGATCGGGTGGTCAGACTCGCTGACTTGGTTGATGCATGTCATCAATACCAATTGCGGGGATCGATGCTCATGATATTAATCACTGGATTGTCTGGTCCAGACTCGATTATTTACAGACCGCCGCCATATAGCTGGAGAGCGGCGTTAAACAACAAACCAACCAACCAACAAACTTTGTAGGGGTTTTAGAGATTAAATCTCCCAGTCTATACTACGCACTGCAATAGATGGACTATTGGCGGCGATGATAAAACCCTACCTTGTGGTAAGGACTGAATGTATTTAATGACAACTGCTGACAGCATATGAATGAAAATAGGATCGGTATAGTTCAGATAATGTATGAAACATTGAGAAATCAGGTCAGATGATTTTGTCAGATGGAAAACTTGCAGGGCCATTAACCCCCTACCCCTAAACTTAAGGATTTCAGATTAATATCCAACATCGATCTTTTGAACTGTTCCCTTACAAACAATATTTAGAGTGGGTTCTTGCAAGCATCAGCCACTAAAGACATACCCTTATCTGATTGTCAAGTGGACCCAACCACCCACTCAACACGTGGTATGCCTTCAGTGGCTGGGTCCACTTGACAATCAGATAAGGGTATACAAGAAACTTTCAGAGCGTTGTCCGATTCCTCACGTGTGTACAGTATGTGAAACACAGGGTTGACTCTTTGCTGCTGCATTGCGGACCCTGGCGTCAATAACATCTACGGGTATTGTGTGAAATAATGTCATTTGCACTTATCGCCTTGTATTGCACCTCTACATGTAAAGTGACTTTTTGCGTAATGTAATCGTAAACCGACATTCAGATCCCGTTACGTGCTACTGTATCTTAAGACGTCCACTTGACGATCTGAGCAGACACAGCAAGTGTGGCCTATCCATGTTGACGCTTGTAGAGGGGGACGTTCTGCTGTTGTCAAGGATACCCCGTGTGTAGGGGAAGATGCTGGCGTTTGAGTAGGCTATTAGAACTGAAACACAGGCATATTATTGTTTCTGTTTAGTGAACTGTCCAGATGTGTGCCATCCAAAATCAGGCGGCAGGAACTTATTGTAGTCTCTCTTAAAATCTCTAAAAACAACTTTTTAAAACTTCTGGATACACCCCCTGACAGTGACCTTGCATCAAAAACATCCGAATATACCGATGCAGGTGTTAAATTATTTTATCTTCTTAAAATTGAGTTTTTCTCCACGCTTGTCTTTGAAATATGCTCAAATCACACACACACACACACACACACTCACACACACACTCACACACACACACTCACACACACACACACTATATATATATATATATATATATATATATATATATATATATATATATATACCAACAGATTCTATCAAGTCTCATTGGCGTGGAACAAGTATCTTTGACGGTAGTCTGACAACACATTATCGGGTATGGGGAAAACAAGGGGTATTCATGCCTGTTCTGCCCCGGAATGCCTGCGATAGGTACCATTACCCCAGTTAAGATCCGGGACAGAATAGGTCTTCAGCAACCCATGCTTGTCGTAAGGATCGACTTACGGTATCGGGTGGTCAGGCTTGCTGACTTGGTTGATGCAAGTCAACGTATTCCAATTGCGTGGATCGATGTTCATGATGTCAATCACTGGAATGTCTGGTCCAGACTCGATTATTTACAGACCGCCGTCATATAGCCGGAATATTGCCGAGTGCGGCGTCAAACAACAAACAAACAAACAAGATATGCGTAATGTAAATACAACTGGTCCATTGCATGTCTGGTATATTTAAGATGTACATTCAATCAGTTATTGACCACCCACATACATCAAGCACTCATGCTTCTATACAGAAGGCGCCTGTCACTCTACAGTCGTCTCGAGATTAACGCGTCTGTTGACACTGGGGTCAGCTTTTCTCATAGGTTAGTGATATCGATCTCCTTACTTGTCAATCTAATCGATAATCACCTGGTCGGTTCTTTCCCTACTGACCTCATGTCAACATTGTCAAAACATTTGATAGGAGTTAATAACATGAGATATGAACTGGCAGATAGATGCATCACACATGTTGCAGATATATTTAAGTTAGGGTTGGACCTTACCCCGCATTGCATTTTTGTGTTGTTTGAAACCGCACTCAACAATAGTCCAACTTAATTTATATGACGCCTGCTTAATAGTTGCAATAAACGAAGACCAGACAAACCAGTGATTGGTATTATAGTGAGTGAGTGAGTTGGGTTTAACGCCGCTTTTAACAGTATTCCAGTCATATCACGGCGTGTCAGCTTAATGTGGGAGGAAAGCCCGAAGTGATGCAGGTCTCAGACGTTTACCACTTCGGTGAAACCCACGAGCACGGGTATGGTGCTGACAAACCTAGAAACATAATCAGGGCGAACCGGGATTCGAACCCACAATCATGGGTTTCTGGCGTGCCTAAGGGACGCAACTCTGCACAGCGAATCGCGGCGCTTTAGACGACTGGGCCACCCGTGCCCCCGATTGGTATTATAAACAACGACCCGCGAAGATCCGGGTTATAATAGCTCTTCAAACCATTCTTGATGTTAAAGTCGACTATGCTTTTCGTAAGAGGCGACTAACGGGATCGGGTGGTCAGGCTTACTGACTTGGTTGATGCATGTGATCGTATCCCAATTGCGTAGATCGATGCTCATGATGTCAATCACTGGATTGTCGGGTCCAGACTAGATTATTGACAGATCGTCGTCATAAAGCTGGAATATTGGTGAGTGCGGCGTTAAACAACAAACAAACATACAAATATAAACAACGCTCCACGAAGTAGGGGTACGATGGCATGCCATCAATCAAGTCATCGAGCCTGACCACCTACCCATTAAGTCGCCTAGTACTACGAGTAAAGATGCTGGGAACGGAGAACATCAATTGTGGAACCAAACCTGTATCCCTTGACAGCTGAGGCCGGTACAGTGAAACCCCGCTAGGCCGGACATTGTTAATACGGAAACCAGACGCTGACAGGAGGAAGAATTTAACATATACACAAAGAAAGAAATTAAGCACAAATGCGAATTATCTCTTTCCCAAAAAATGATATTATTAAAGTTATATCAGTATGCCATGTTGGTAATATATCAATGAAACTTTCAGCTTATTCATTTGATAATGTGGTCAAACAATTTGCACGAAGGATAAGGAATAGGGTAACAGATGTGGTTCAGTTTAACAGAGGTCATCAAGTGCTTGCCAAGTCATGTGTTGTTTACCCCCGATAGCTATTCAAGGTTTAAAGGAACTTATCGAGCGATACCCGAAGGCTGGAAGACCTAATGTTATGCATGACGGAAATACGTCACAGTGGAGTTCCGTTTTTACACACGACACCAGTGTTATACTAGTTAGAACTTATGTGAGGTGAGGTGAAATGGGGTTTAGCGTCGCGTCCAAGATTATTGCACTTATATAGCGACGTGCATGTACGTGTGTGTGTTTGTGTGGCTGCTTGTACTAGTCCGGACTGATGCCGATTTATAGTGCTAGCTCACTGAGATACCATGCCGCAGTTTAACATGAATACCCCACTCAG